TGTGGTAGGTGACTCGACATAAAAGTGCGCACAACCATGACGTGTCCGCAAACCTCGACATGCATTCTCGCGCTAGAAAGCTAATAATTGAGCAACAAAGCAAGCGCGTTCGACTAGAGAGAGTGATTTTGCGGCAAAAAGAGCAACTTGCGTTCCTTAGACAGGAGTATCTGGACTTCTGCAGTGTAAACAGGGACATATACAATGACAAACAGAAGGGGCGCAGAGAGTACTTGAATGAACGTATGCCGATTTAAGCGCTGTTCGACAATATGTAAGCAAAAAAACACTGCCATGATTTCAGTCTTGACGCAAAGGGTCAAATCTGTCGCTTGATGTTTGCAAATTCTCAATACATCGCTCTTGATGCAGAGCTCTGTGACGTCATCGTACTAGACTGAACGTACAATACAAACAAGTTCAAGATGCCCGTGCTCAATTTTGTCGGCGTCACCCTGTTTGGCAAGTCATTCCTCGTTTGCACAACATTTATGCCAAGGGACGACAAGAAAAACTACGAATGGGCTCTAACCTCTTCAAAAGGTGCATAAGAGTCGAAGTAATGACGATTTCCCGCGAATTCTGGTCAGCGACAACGATTCAGCTCTCTTAAACGCTGAGCAGCACGTATTTCCGAATGCGACAAGATTGCTGTGCCGCTGGCACATAAATAAAATGTTGTTGCCAGGTGCAAAGTTCACTTTACGGATGGAGATATATAAGAAAAGACGATCGCAAACTGGAGCGCTCTCTGATATACGTCAAGTGTCGAAGTTTCCGAAGCACAATGGAGCGAATTTTTAGACCAAGTTTCTACATCTCCCTTTCATCACACGCTACCTGAATAGAACGTGAGTCAAGCACAAATATGAGTTCGTTGAAGCGTAGGTGGGAGACGTCTTCGACCTTGGCTGTTCTACAATATCTGGAGCTCAGTCAGTACATTCGGACCTGAAGCGCTTTTCGCGATCGTCGGTTGGTGATTTTCTCACAGTGTATCAAAGTCTCCACTTGGCGATCGAGCACCAAGTGGTGGAGCTGAACAATATGCACGCTAATGATCACATGAAACGACCAACATTCGCAGTTGCGCCCATATACACCCAGGTTGTGTATAAGGTTTCATCTTATGCGCTCACCCTCGTCCATGAACACCATGCATACACCTATCAATGCAATTTACAGTTCCGATTGACTATGGGCCTACCGTGCAAGCACTTTGCTCAAAAATTAATCAACGCTGATGCACCCTTCACACTTAAAGATTTCGACTCGCATTGGTGGTTGGAAAAGTCTACTTCTGCTTCTTCTGCAGGAGATGTGAAAAGCAACGTTCGAATTGATGACTTGGTACCACATCTATTTCGAGTATTCGACTCAGCACCAACCCATAAGAGAATTGATATCCGAGCCCACATCATTGATACTATATTGACGGGTCCAAGCGTGTCGGTGAGAGATCCAGTCTAAACAAAACCAAAAGGAAGACCATCCGGAGCAACAAACCAAAAAACCAGCTGCGAAACCCGTCTGCGTTTGAGTATATCGAGAGCCCTGTTATCTTGACTCGAAAGCGCAGTATCTGCAGACAATAAGGGCACAACAAGCGCTCATGCACCAACTTTGCAAGGGTGAGGGAGATACTTAGTAACGTACAGCGATCGTCGAATCGGTTAAAGGCGTGGGCACAGTAAAACAAGCATCACTCATTGGTCATGACGGACAGAGCATCGTGGTCTATTCATCGTCAACTGCATGGTTACAAACACACCAAGAAAACAAGAAACAACAAAGCAAAACGGAAGCGCACCTGCGGGTCGGACTTTACGAGCAATCAGCATGTTCACAGTCTGCTTTGTTCCCGATTATTGTAGAATTGATGTAGGGTCGGAATTGCAGTATACGACACGTTTTTGCTATTTTTATTCTTCGTCTTTGTCCCTTTATTGAAGTAAGCAGTTCGATTATTTACCAGCATGTGATCCAATCAGTACGCAACCACGGTACTGTGAAACGTTCGTATGACGCAATGAAATTTTTTTGCACAGTCGTGTAGCGCCGCTTGAGATCACGCTCGTGCACAACTGTCGTTTGCTAGATTTTACACCTCTATCGTCCATCTTCCGTACATCCTAGGCGTGTTCGTCATCCACTTAAAATTCAAAGAAGAACACTTCTCATTGTTGTCAGCTCAAACCGAGAGTATAATCCATCATTTCGACAATGTGTACATTGCATAACACTCAGATACCCGCTTGTCTTCTGCAGCACGCGATATAAAGTGAAGTATCGTTTAGCTTTCTCTGTTGATCTCACCTACTTGTTGTAGTACTGCATATGTGTATATGTATACTATCTTCTAGATTTCTGTATCTAGAAGCTCACACAACTGCAACCTTGGCGTCTCAACCATCCGTGATAACATTGTCGTTCGCCAGTTGAACACGCATCATCCCAACGCGCATATTCCCAATAGACGTAGGACAGTGTTATCCTGTTATACAATAGCCATACGCGGCGTGTGACCTTGTGCATCGCACTGTGTTATAAAAAATAGAAGGCACCCTGTTTTGGTTCCAGGGGGGTGAAAATATCATTACCCTTTTTATACTTTAAATCAAGTGCTAGCTTGAAGCATGAGCAAGGTCATTACACCCTGGGAATTTTTCACTTACAATCGTCAACTGTTCAGATATCTGTTATTTATAAATTACAGGATTTCGACTTGGTAGTCCACATCTTGTACACTTACTCCACTTCGTCTACCGGCTGCGACCAATTGTAGACCCAGTAGGTGGTGCGGCCATGGGCTCGTACACGGTCAGGATGGAGCTGTCTACCTGCCAAGTCCGAACCCTCAACCTCCAGATCAAAATACCCGTGTCTAGACCACTGCACTACCTGATCGGTAGCTCAGAGTACTGGGTGGGGATCCAAACTAAAGGTTTATGCTTCCGTCATTGCATGACGTGTTTTTATGCAGGAGTGCTCACCTAAAGCACCATACATCTGACGACTTCGCAAACCCGATATGTCGTCGTGATCCCGCTCAAGCCTCGCCCTTGCAACAATGGAGTTGCGATTCGACAAGGTCCGTGCAGATGTCAGTATTGAATCTAGAGTGACGGGCGGGCGAGCGGACGGGGTGTTCGTATATCTGGACTAATTGGATGTCATATCATTCGCGGCAAGCTCTCCTCTCCTCTATTCTCTTGTGCAGAAGGGCCTAACGCTGGAATAAATGTAACACTGAAGTAGCTGCGATACAGCGCCGGCGCGACAAGAACCAGGCGTGCCTGATGAATGGCTGTTGACTGTTCCAGCTCACATGTTGCGGACTCGTAAAGTAGCCCGGCACCGACCAAACGATTAGGCTCCGTTCCAGCATATTTGCAATCTCAGAGCACATTAGGCCTCTGTAGGACATACTAGCTTGACAGTTGTGTCGGTCAGCCGGGTCTCGCAATTGTCATCAGGTGATTTGTAGCTCATACTGCTTCTTTTCGCTGCCACACCGTGTGACTACACCGTTTCGTCGTTTACGAGGGCGCTACTTGCTGCATAGATTAGCAAAGTGCAATGCCTTACACACTGCTATGATTCTTTTACCCGCATCGCCTGTATTGCAAGCAGCTAACGTAGGTTCTTTCAAGATAGACTCTTTGATTGAGTCCAGGAGCATCCACTTGAACTGACGGGTGATGCACGACGAGTCATGGCACACGCACACCCCACACTTTCTGACGGAGTACTAGCACGGACTCTCAAGTACCGCAACAATGTCTTGCACAGGCACAGCTGTGTCGGTAGATACTCACCATGGAGAGAGATTCCAACGTCTCTTGTTCCTTGCCACATCTCCGCAACCATACGCATACCAAACCCTACAAACGCTGCTCAACAGCAGCTCATTGCGAAACAAGCTCCAGCTGGCTTTGACTCGGACATACAGCAAGCTTTCGCTCGCTACAGCTCGGCATTGCGAGGCGAGGTTGCGTTGGCACGAACAGTAAGCGCATGCAGGAATCGAAGCATCAGCTCGTGGCAAAGTCACGCTAGACCACTTCAAACAGGGCGCTGCATCGTACAAACGAGCGAGGCGCTGCTGCCACTGATAGAAGAGCAAGTGCACTTGGTATCCCACACCTGGAGTCACGAGCTTTGCACTAAACTCTCCAGCTGTCCACATTGAACGGAAACGGCCATGATCGGCTGTTTTACAAAGCTATGTAAATTGATTCCGGTGCACTCAAGCTTTCTCCGTGCTAAGTAAGTCATGCTGCGACGCTCTCGACACTTCAGCAATCGAGTAGCGAAGAGAGGTAGCTTGACGGCGTAATGACGTAAGCGGGAAACGTCCTAGTCCATAACGAGGATCGACACCCTTGTCCGCCAAGAGGCAGATAGGCCTCCGAGTCACATCCGACGTGATGACGCTATTGTGTCTTTGCATGCACAATGGGCTGATTCAGTGTCAGACTGAATCCAGCTGACCACGAAAGGCAGATGATCGAAGTCTGTCTTACTGTCTTGGCCGCTGCAGGCACCTCAGTGCCATGTGCTCAGTCGTGCGAGGCGCCAATATTTTTGACACATCCATTGCGTCGGGCGAGACTGGTCCGACGACGGCTGGCACACAATTGACGACAAACCAGAACTCCGCCAAGATCGAAGTGGCCAGTAGGATGAGCAGCACGCACATACTCTAAAAGTCTTCAGCTCTTATCAGAACGCCGGTCCGCCTTTTATTAGACAATCGGTCCATCTTATAAATAGCTTGTTCACCGTCTGGCGCCAACGTATCCATTGCGATCGCTGCAGAGCCGTCGGCCGCCATGGAGAGCCGATGAAAACCTTTGGGCATATGTAGCACCACGATGAGACTAACCCAATGCACTCGAGCGCCGCGTTTTTCTTGCGCATTGTGCTGTGTTGCTGTCCTTCATTACTCGAATCGCCTCGAGCAGCTCAAGTAGTTTGTCGACTCTGAACACTGAGCCATGGTCAAGCTTCTTTCCATCCTACTTGGTCTAGCCTGCTCGTGCTGCTGCTGCTTTCACGGCCCTGTTTTAGCGGAAGAGCTTTGCTCCATTGTGCCGGCCTCGTACGCGGGTGCTAAGACCACTTACCCGCACCTTGCGACTGCAATCGAGACGATCGAGCAGTACTCGATCACTGCATGGTACACGGACCGCCTCACACCTACGGAGCAATCGACCATGCTGGCTAGCCTCATGAGCAAGTGCTCGGAAGACTCCCGCATGACTATCGCCGTCTACGGCATTCCCAACAAGGACTGCAACGCCGGTCTTTCGTCATCTGGTTCCGTCAAAAGCACAAGCGACTACCAGTCGTTCCTCACCGGCCTGACCGCAGCGGTAGGCAACCGCAAGGTGCTCTACATCGTTGAGCCAGACGCAGTGGGTCTCCTCGCCGAAGAAGGTGGCTGTGGCAAGTCAGCCGGCTACCTCGAAAACCTCAAGATTGCCATAGCCGCTCTGTCTGCGAACGCCAATGCTCAGCTGTATCTGGATGTCGGCTACTGGCTCCTAGCGGACACTACAAAGGCAACGGGGGTAGCGACTGTCGTCAAGGAGCTAAGTGCTTCGGGCGGTGTGAAGGGCATCACAATTAACACGTCCAACTACCGCCCGACGGACGAGTGTACAGCCTACTGTACGAATTTCCAGACGGCCATGGGGTCCACCGACATGTCGTGCATCATTGACACGTCCCGCAACTACAACAAACTCGCTACACCCGACTGGTGCAATGTCAAGTCTGCTGGCATTGGCAAGCCGCCGACATCGGAGACAGGCATCCCGAACGTCGACTACTTCATGTGGGTCAAGCCCCCTGGAGAGAGCGACGGAGTCTGCACTGACACCGCGCACTCAGGTGAATCGTTGAGTGGCGTGACGGCCGGTGCCTTCTACTTGGACGCTTTCCAGGCACTCTGGGACCAAGGGTATTTCGTCAGCGAGCAGAGTATGGCTACGATTTCGACGAGCAGTGGCAACAGCACCGGCCAGACGAAAACCAGCGGGCAGCACAATGTGAGTGGCAACAAGACGGACACGCAGATCGGTGGTCAAACTGGCGGAACGCTCGAGGGAAGTGCGGATCAATCCGATTCGGTCGGCCAAGAGTACAATAGCACTACACAGTCGGCTGCTGGGACTGCCGTTCCAGTGTACACCATGTCGTCTATAGACTCTTCGAGCTTTCCCACAGTCGTTGCGTCTACCGCGTCAACGACGAACCCGACGGGCAATACCACAGCTCCTACCGTCAATGCCGCTGTCAGCTCTACAACGCCGAGTCTCTCGACAACGCCGCCGCCGCCACCAACTACCACTACACCCGGCGGCCCACAAGTCAGTGTGGCATGCAAAGCCAAGAAACACCTGAACAAACTGTAGGGCGCATGCTCGAATCCTGTGCTGGCGGCAGCAATCTGCGTCCAGACGAACTCGACCGCTGCGCGCACACAAGTGTCTAATAAAAACCATGATCCATTTGCACATGCACTCTGTCCGCGTTTAAAATGGCCTCGCAAGCGTGTTGTGACTTCTGATTTGAGATGGAGACATTGTCGCCTGCGGTAACGGCCGATGCTGGTCTCGCGTCGCAAACGCAGAAAGTCTCGCTATGTTTTGGTCCAAGGTAAGAGAAAAGCAGCGGTCAGTGTGGTAACCACGACGGTCTCGTTATTTCTGGTACGTCCGGTGTGCTAAACGCAATGCGTTCAGCTTCCGGCACTTGCATGATTTGGCATCAGCGAGCACCGAATTCGACAGCAAAACGCTCCCGAATCCGTCAAGTCTCGAGCGTTTGGCAGCGTTTCGGGTCAGCAGCACCTGACACTCGAAACGGCAGGAACGTCGTCGAGGCTTCTTGTATACGAGCAGTGCATATTGCATCGCGTAGACACCTCAACACTGGCAAGCAACAACACGACATACTGCTGCTCCAGAAATGTCACAAACTCCTTACGATTCAAGGACTGCAGATGCATGACACCACTGTGCGTGTTGGTAGCTTGCCTTCTTGTCGAGCCAACACGGTGTTGAACGGTCAGTCTTTCAGCATTGAGTTCATTCAGCATTCTGCCGGGCACCCCACAACACCTTCCCAAGTATCGCGTGGCCCTTCAACACGATGCTCAGCACTCGTCAACTAGCTACCATCGTGTCGTATACAGCACTAGCATTGCTTTCGACGTCGATCAGTCTCGCCAGCGCTGAAGATCTCTGCTCTATCGTGCCGTACTCGTACACGGGTGCCAAGTCAACTCATCCAGAGCTAAAGACCGCCATCGAGACGCTCGAGGACTATGCCATCGCCTCCTGGTTCACCGACCGTCAGACCTCGCAAGAGCGATTGGATCTGATGACCGGGTTGCTAAGCCAGTGCTCGGTCGACAAACGCCTTAGCATCGTAGTGTATGGCATTCCCAACAAAGACTGTGCTGCGGGCTTGTCATCAGGAGGTAGTGTGACGAGCGCAAGCGATTATCAAGCGTTTCTGAAAGAGCTCACGGATGCCGTGGGCGACCGCAAAGTACTGTACGTGGTGGAGCCGGATGCACTGGGTCTGCTAACTCAAGACGGAGGCTGCGGTGCAAACGCCGGATACCTCGAAAACCTCAAAGTTGCCGTGTCGACTCTGTCGGCAAACGCCAATGCTGAACTCTACGTCGACATTGGCTACTGGATGCTGGCAAACGAGCACAGCGCGGGCAAAGTGGCCTCTGGTATGAAAGAGATTGCTGGCTCGGGTCGTGTGAAGGGTGTGACCATCAACACGTCCAACTACCGGTCGAACGACGAGTGTTCTACCTACTGCAGCAACTTTCAGACAGCCATGGGCTCCAGTGACATGACCTGCATCGTGGACACGTCTCGCAACTACAATGGATCGCCCACCTCGGACTGGTGCAACGTGCCTATCGCGGGTATCGGCAAGCCGCCTACGTCCGAGACTGGCGTCTCAAACCTGGACTACTTCATGTGGATTAAACCGCCTGGCGAGAGCGATGGCGAGTGTACAACTGGTGGCTCGTCGGCCGGTTCCTTCTACTTGGAAGGCTTCACGCTGCTCTGGGATCAAGGATACTTTGTGCGTGAGCAGGGTATGCCAAAGATTGGCGATGGCTCCTTCAATGCTGTTCAGGCACCCACGACATCGAGTGGCAGCAGTAGCAATCAAGACACTTCCGACCAGACGACCGTATCGGGCGAAGAAACGCCAACTTCTGGTAGCTCAAGCTCAAGCTGGAGCCAGGAGAACACTGTGGCTACAGTTGCTCCGGCCGAAATGATCTCGACTGAGATCTCCGTCCCCACGCCGTCTGCTACAGCCGAAAACATACCAGTGAAGGCACCACGTAGTGGTTGCAAGGCCAAGATGCGTTTGCGCTCACTGTAATCGACGTGAGCTGCAGTACAACGCAGTTGCCCATTCTGAGTCGAATATGCATATACCGCTGAAAATAAAATACTCGTGTTTTGCTCTCAGAAACGTCTCTGCCAGGTCCCGTTGTGACGCATCACGAGCTCGTAAGGGTCACACGCTAGTTGAGTCTCTTGGTCTTATGACTCAATGGACCACACGCGTGCAACACACTCACAACACATTGAGAACGTGGAAGTGACAACGACCACAAGTACTCGATGCCCCAAGAAGTTGTTGTCGAGACGGTTGGCGGACGTTACAATCGATGTTCATAAAGCGCAAAGGTGCCACGTGAGGTCAGAATGCGGGCTCGTTGAGAACGCGTGATCGAATCAAGCACGTCAAGTACGAGGACAAGCAGCTGCATACGGGGTGCCACCTAGATCGCTGTCCTGTATATACAACATACTGTGTCGAGGAAGTTTCGAAATTTATTGTAGCATTTCGGGCAACATAAACAGCTTGTCGGATCAAAAGCGGCCGCAAGAGAAATTTGGGAGGACGTAAATAAATAAGAATCGAGCAATAGTGTAATTAATTTCGGTAAAATAGACGAAAAGAAGAATATAAGAAGCTTCAACAAATTACATTTATTAAAAACACATGTTGTGTAAAACAAATATAGATTGATATTCGGCTCACTTTATCGAGACATATTGCAAACCGCTGCATCATTAACAGACAAATAGCAAGCATGTCAATACTTAATCCATGCAAGGGTGGCTGCTATACGCACCATGTGATATTAAAAAGCTCCTATGATGTCTACAGTTCCTATAAAGATACACATATACCTTAGTCAGCACAAAAAATAGCACGTCACTCTTCTTACTGCTGCCCGACGAGAATGCGAAGAAACACGTACACTCGTCTCATGCAATCTCCTTCGCGATATTTCATTCTTTGCCAATTATAGCGTGGAATTTGTCAACTTGGCTGCTTGAACATTCTGATTGGCATGTAGTTAGAAATTGAGACAGCAGTACAGACACAATAATGCGCTTATGCGCTCTATTTTGGATCGTTACTTACCATCGTAAAGAAAACACTGCGCATACCACATCTTTTTCTATAGCGATTTCCGACTTGCCCAGTAGCGTGTAACGGTATCCGCTCTTTCTTCGAACGCCTTCTTGACAATGCGGATGGTAGAGCGCATTACTATCGCTTGTACAGACACCCTTCATCAATGACTCTATTATTGCTATCAGATCGCTAGGAATGGCCATTTGCAAACTCAGCTGCTTTCAATGAATCGTGAAAATACTCAACAACGCCGATTGATGTCAAACAGCGAAGACGTAACCCTGTTTTGAGCAAAGGGATGTACAATGCCGTTCCTCACATGACATCCATCTGAGCGGACACTTTTGCATTCAATTGAATTTAATAAAAGCCACAATCGCACCGCTATTGTTCAGCAAAATAGTTCTTTTCAGAAATGCAGCTACTCAACTATTGTTCGTTGTCCTTTTCCATCGTTTTTGTTGCAGAAATAGAAGAAGAACTGGTGACGTATATTCGATAATATGTCGCGAAAGTAAGAGATGAACGGTAAAATAGCCTTATCGTCAGGAAAGCAGAAGAAGAGCATGATAAGTCGCACAGATAAGTGTCTTAAAAACATGTTCGCTGCGTATTCTGACGGAACAGGTGGCATAGTAGACAGAGCTTTGATTATGCAACACGTACGACAAGTTGGTCATCTTTTATCAGCCCATACTACTGATGCTCGCATACTAGGGATAATCATGCTATGACCAAGTGATTTATGTCAAAGATTCTCCTGTGAAAATTCAGGCACCAACGAATACACAACGCCGATTAGACTCCACAGACTACCCCAAATGCTCGATCGCACTTACAGTGTCGTAACACAACTTGTGCTTAACGATAACACTGTGGCTTTGTTGTAGCTCTGACTTTGTGCGATGACACAGTAGTTAGACAGCTTCATCTTCAGCGAAAGAGCACGCTTATATTCTTGTAGCTCACACTAAGTTGCGATTATGCTTGTGCGGCCACATGAGTAGTATGGCAGCTCACACACACTACTAGCAGCAGCAGAGACACAAGGTTCAGCTACTCAAGCTGCATCGTATCTTGTATCGACGATGAACGAATCCTCGGTTGTTGTCTTTTCTGTCCAAATTGCCATTTCAACACCTTCCGCATTCTTGCTTTCCATGGCGTCGCTTCACTGTTTGACGGCAGCGCGCTTCGACGTTGCTGTCATGCTGGAAGATTGGTCGGTAGAGGTACATCCGTGACGATTCCTTATAGCGCTTCTTCACGGTAATCACAAACACAGCTATACTCTGTCGAGCTACTGAGAAACAAACGTCACGTGTTGACACCCAAACGTAAACGCCGGTTGTCGTCTTTCGTCGAACAAGACCACAATCGATTTTGGCAAAAGTCGGTATTTCGCAGTCATACGTCAGTCGTATCCTCCGTCATCGCCCGTCGATCATCTTTCTTACTCTGCCTTTCGTCTCGCCTGATTAGCTAACTGCATGCTACATCCTCTTCCTTCACTTCGTTCTGGTCCGTCTCGACGCAGCTTGCAGTTATCTACACCTGGTAGGCGCCATGCGAAGGAAGCATCATTGGACCTCCTTCTTTCATGCTAGTGCAAGTAAAATGACAGACAAACAGTGTCAGCAACTACAGCAACAACGCCGGGAAACCAAACAAGCGGACCCACCTCTTGAAGTAGTAGTATAGAAAATCCGCCATCATCAGCATGTGGCCGATCTGAGCGAAAATCACTGTGTAGCCAACGTGCTGGCCCGCGTCTTTTTCGCCAAGTTCGTGGTACGACGAGAACCAGAACACAAGATGCAAGAAGCTGCCGAAAGCCAGTGCGTACACAAAGTGCGAGATACACGACTCCACCGCGCCACCGCCCTGATCAGCCACCGCGGTACCAGCAATCCCACATACCCATATCAGCTTAGCCGACGCTTTATCATGGCAAGACTTGTAAACACGTACCCGCTTCTGAAACATAAACAGCTGCGGCAAGATCGCGACGGCCTCAATGTACAGTGCAATCGTCCAGGAGACGTCCGAGAGCCAATTGCGGTTCAAGTTGGGGTGAATGAGCTAGCAAATAAACACCACACCACATCGCACGAAAGAAACAGACACCATTGCTCAGTCACTAACGTGCCGTCCTCCTCCTCCTCCTCGTCCATATCCGTGCACCAGAACCGGCACGCGAAAGCATCATTGCACGTACCATGCCAAACAGCATACACGGCAAGAGGATGTAGAGTGCCCCGAGCTCTGTCGGCAGGTGGAGCCATCCAAACGTGTCATACCGCAGCTCGTACGTCGAGTTGTAGCGCACGGTCACGAGGTAAATGACCCCGCAACAGAGCGAGAGCGCTGCGATTTCCAGAAACGAGTAGAGCCAGTCCCCGCTCCGGTCGTAGGGCAGATACCCCTGGTACCGCAAGATGGAGCTGAGGCGAAAGAGGAACACGAACGCATAGAGCTCCAGCGTCTTGAGCGACAGACCAGCCACCGAGCGCTGCGAGAACGCCTTGAAGATCAAGAAGGCAAAGCCGAAGGCGCGCACGCACGCGCCCATGGTCTAGCACCGTGCAATAGCAACAGCAGGTTACAAAGTCAGCAGAAGAAACGAACGCAGCGACCGATCACGACGGACTGGCGGTACCCCTCGACACAAGAGACCACACAGCCACAACAACGTGCAGCTTACCATCAAGAACGAAAAGTCGCCGTCGCTGAACAAGTGATAGCAGAAGAACACGACGACGACAAAGCCCGACCATAGCGCGATGTTACTCTTGTGCGTTGTGAGAAACGCGCTGAGTGGACGATCGACACACACACACACAAACATACGCATACATGCGCATTACGACGAGGAGGTGAGGTGCAATTGAACGGGCTCAGGGGCGAGATAGGGACAAGGGCAGGGGGTCACGTACGCGCCGAAGGACTTGTCTTTGCTGTTGGACTCCATCATTGGAATCGCGGGATGGATCGGGTTCGGGGCACCGGTTTTCGTTAACTACGACGGCGCTGTTTGCGAGGCGTTTGTTTCGACAGGAGGCGCAGCGGGGGTTCGTGTGACGCTGTGATTGGTTGTATCTTCTTCCCGAGAGGGAGCGACGGAGGGGGCGAGTGGGTTTTTTCCGTCATTAAGGCGTCGGATTAAAGGCGAAAGATTTGAATCGACGCAGTGTTTCAGAGTCTGCAGGTGTGGGGCTAGAATACGCGAAGTAAAAAGAGAGAGATGGACGGGGCGGCGTAGCTACAGAATACGTGACGTATACCGTCTTGCGAGAACCAATGTTTGCACTCACGACTGGTTTCGGTGCGCTAGACAATGGAGGGAAGATGCCGGTTCTTGTTGAGTGCGCTATAGTCCGTCGTGTCGGCATGACAGGCGTTCAGTACGTCTACTTTCGTTACACGAGTCGGTGGGGTAAGCGTGTTGGCTTCTTAGCATGTCTACTTTTTCGCTGGCACAGTAGTGGCATCCACGTGTGTGAGGCGCTGCCTATCTACATAGCCAGCGCATGCGATATAGTGGCGTATTGAATACCTATTTGTATCTGACGATGCAAGAACTCCCCCGTGTGCAGGACGCACACTCATCGAGTCTGACTGCGAATCCCTCAGCATTAATGCGATCTCCACACGTGCCTCCGACAGATGGCGCATTAGGTTAGAGCTAATAACTGTAAATCATTGGGACCTTTTTGGCTACCGGACGATACATGTGGGGCGCTCAGAATGAGTAGGAGAGATGATTGTTACGTAGTCTTCACTTTCGACTGAATCGACTAAAATCAATTCATCATCGCGCTCACCCTACGCTGAATGTCTAAACGTGTCACAAACGCATACTAAGATGTCGAAATGCTGATTCTCCAGGAGAGTTTGACCGCAGAACGCGGTTTTCTCCTAAAGTGCCCAGCGCTTCTAGCCGTCCATAGGGACTTTCACGTCAGGCTGATGGACCCAACATCCACTACAGAGGCCTATTCTTGCCGCCAGGTACAAAAGTACGGAAGACCACAGTGTCGCACGGAGAACGCAACGCGGGTGGCAAATGGCGGCGACTGCTGTCACAGAAGCTATTGCGGTGTAATGAACTGGGGAGAAGTGAATTTGGTAGTGACAAGTGTGGGATCGGGCTTGCTAAAGGAATCACTGGACGGCATGATGCTGCCGATGATTGGTCCACACGACAGGTCATTGATGTCACTCGATTTCCACTGACATGGTCACCCCTGCATTGTCGTCACTCGATAGAGGGAGTGTGTGTGGTGCACACCACGTATTTTCAAACGATCGGGTAACGCGGCCAAGAGGTTTGATGGAGTTGCTTCTACGGTTCCACTACTAGCTGGAAAGAGGCATTGGCATGCTCGACGCTCGAACCTGTGATCGAGTTGCTTCAGTTTGCAAGACCTATCATGCTGTTTGGTGTGTATGTACTGATTTGCCCTTATATCAGGCATGGCATAGCCACTTCGAAAACCTGTCTCGAAGAACATGCATCGTACCATTATTAAATCACAAGCAACATACTTCCAACTACACAATGCAGACCGACAACAATTGTCTGTGAAGCGTCGCGTAAACCATCTAGGCATGTTACGTGTCGGAATCGTGGCTTGACTCGATATGCATGCTGGAGACTTGCCGTCTGTATCGCGTCGCCTACGCAATGTTTCGATCGACTACGCGATGCACCTTTCTTTCATTGGAGTAACTACACCACTACACCTCGAGCTTTGTATTACGGGTAAAACTGGCTTCTTAGCCGCAACACTTCGAATTGATGTTAGTCTTAAGCAGAGTCTCATGCAAGGAATGAAATCGTACAGATTCGATCATAGGTGCAATCCAAAAAAATCGCTCGGCAATTTTGCATGATCTGTTCAGCGCAGTTAGACGACAGTTGTAAAAGGTCTGTCTGGTGTCGATATGTTTATTCGGCTCAAAACACTCCAGGAAAATTAAACCGATCAACTTTATCTCGAAGCACTCCCGGTCATGAGATTCGTGCTCTGGTATCGTGGCTCATAAGTTTTGATCTCGTCATTCTGTCGAATTTTGTTACCCCAAAGCGACCATTTTGTTACCCTACGAGCTCTGCTTTTTTGCACGACCTGCTACATGCTGTTGATTGCGACTCGTGTCGCACTGTTTTTCCACGTCATAGGAGAAAACAATACCCGAAAGATGAAGTTACCACTGAGCATGTGCTAACCGGTGGAGAGAGAAAACAAGCAAGCAAATCTGCAGCCTATAATTTAGCTCGAGAGCCTATCACTAAGGTATGAAGATAGCTCCGATGCAACAGGTTTTTTGGCGGTCAAACATACGGACACACATTGTACGCAGATCATCACAGAGTTTCTATTGTTCGTTGCAGTCGCACTGGCACATATTGATGGTTGTTTGGGCTAAGCAGACCACTCAGTGATAGAGGCCTGCTCTGTTGCCGCTATAGCTCAATCGCGAGCGAGCGACTTGCCCATCGTCAGTTGACTGACCGATGTTGCCAATCGGAGGCACTGTGGCGAAGCATCATTTCCAAACAATCGAACTTCGTGCGGCATCACCCTTTTAGACCGATGACTTCCTATCATAGAGTGTCAAGCAGCAAGCTCTGTGCTACAGGCGTGCTCCACAACCAGAGCGTTGTTTAACTTGTTTGAGCAACGGCGGTGATCAGAAATCTATAGCGTTTACTGGTCAACATCCGTGGCGAACGTGCATTGACGAAATCGCTATTCGTCTACAGGTAGACAGACCATCGTCCTCAAGTTGAAGCCATTTGCACAAATTGGCACTTCCTTCCGCGGCGCGAAAAAACGAAGCATCGGTGTCGTTCATCGTTATGGAAGGGCACGTGGCACAGGTTCCCACTTAGGTGAAAATGAAGGTGGACAATCCATTAGTTTAAGTCTGCTTTTTATCGATGCCCCAAGGCAACTATCACGAAGTCTTTCTGTGCCGCATCTTCACTGCGCTACAAACATCATCTGTCTTCGTAGTCCAAAAAGCGGCGGCAACCTATCCAGCGACCGTGGCTTGTAGTAATTTCCCTGCGTCGTCCATTACTCTTTAGATAGATAAACGACGCGATCATCGAAAGCGCCATGTTGCGGTAAGTGCTGGGATGGCCACCAAACAGTGATTGGACGTGACCTCTAGCAAAAGGTCTCCGCGTTCGATCATCAGTATACGATACAGCACAGGATGATGTAGTTGGAACACGTCATTTGATCCAAATTACTCAAAACAACCAAGCCTCACGTGCTGCCAGTGACGTGGCATATGTCAAACCCTTGCACGACACTTTGTATCCACACTGCTCGTGCTGCTACCGCGACATTAAGTCCTGACTTGCAGCTGTATGCGTAGTTGTCTACTAGCAAAAATTCTAACCGGCACGTACTACCCACGCATAGGAACGCGCATAGCTCGTTTCAACAAGCACTCATTTTTCGTCATCTTACATGGCGCGTAGCCACGCGAACCGCACCATTAGTGTTGAGGATCCTACCACTCACTGGCACCGCCAATCGAAAGGTGGACGGTATAAGATGCGGTGGACGCAAAAGTCGGAGCATCTATCCGCCAGCGCAGTCGCCAAAGTCTGCGCAAATGTTGCTGTTTGGTGTTGGGCTAGACACCGCTGCGCTTGGATCTAGTTGGGTGATGTGCTGCAGCATTGGCACGCTGCAAGGGTGTCAAATGGTCGACGCCTCGCCATGGAAGACATGCGAGTTGCTGGAATAGATGCGCCAATACCCACACCGCTCTCCACTCTACATTCGATGTCCGCGCCAGCACATTTCTTGCCGAATCGAAGCGCTCGATATTGAACGTCAAGCCATGCGCGGACTTACTACTTCGCAAACGCTTACAAGGCACGGACATGGACGCAACGTAGCGTGTCGAATGACCGGGTCGCAGCTCACAAAAGAAGAGCGCGATGTTTCTTGTGCACTGACAGACCGCTTTCAAAGTGCGCGCCATGGGTGATCAAAAGGAGGTAGCAACCTATCGACGTCACACAAAAGACTGTGACCTCATGCAAACTCGCTCGGTCGCGGTGACAACAAGCTGATAGGCGTGACGCCGTAGAGTAGGACGACTTACTCAGCAATGCCCGCCGCATTCTTCGTGGAGCTAAAAATGCTGCTCCCATTCGCCAGCTTCATTCAGCGCGGACGGCGGCAGCTTGTCCTGGTCTCGGCGTGGACGAATCGGATGTTCTTGCTAGGGCTCGTTCCTGGTACGCTCGATCCAGGAGCAGCAGCCTGCGCAGTAACAGGGATCACCCGCCACGCACGATAAGAACGGCCAGGCTTTTATCGGTTGCCTCTGCCAACAATCAGCAAAACCAGCTGACAAAAGACGTACGCACAATGTGTGCCACAGCTGGAAATGCTCTCGCGCGGGGGTGCATCTCTCGAGTCTCTGGTCATACTACGGTATAGACGTTCTTGATCTGGCCAGATGTCTACTGCGCGGTGCACTTCATTCTCGAGGATTGCCGTCAAAACGGTCATTCCGTCATTTGCTAAACCCACCACACCGTACCCGACCGCATCATCAGCAAGCATGCACGTCAAGGTCAGCTTTTTCATCGTCAGCGCTGCGGTCGTCTCCAAATTTGGCCTCATTTCGGCTATAGACCAGGAATGCCGTGGTCCGTCTCAATGCGTTGGCGTCGCCAGAAACCTTGTCGACAGGTATACCGAAGACTGCCGTACGTTCTCCACAATCACCGCTTATAACAAGTGCTGCCAGGGCAAGTGCGGCAAAAACGGTGGCAAGAACATGAAGTCTGCCCGTAAGGGGAACCACAATGTACGCAAGTCGCAGGGTTAGGTTGGTCTTCGTCTGCAACGATCTGTGTCTAGCACCCCATCCCGGTTACGTACCGTGACCAAAGTCCGGGTGACAACCCTTCTTTCCCCGTCGCTTGGATACCCT